CGTTTCCAATATTCTTACTGACTTTTCTCAATCCATAGGCAGTCTGGATAGCTTTCAAATTATTGTAGGGAGCCAGAAATCCCTAAAAAAATTTTAAAAACCAAAGATCATAGCAAATTGCAATTAACAAACTTGCATCCTCTAACTGCAGCACTTCATTTTCTGTTAAGATATTACTGATATCTTTGGTCATATAAAAAGTCAAGATGTAGACCGCATCCGCTAAAAACCTTTCCTCAGGGCAGGCGCCAGGTTGATGGTACTTAAAGTCTTGTACTTCTGCTCCAAGGAAGAAGGAGGCAAGCTTACAAACTATACCATAATCATTCCTTGAAAACACCATATCAGTAGTTGCATTAGTCAAAAATGTCTTAGCTTCCTCTGCAACAGTGTGAAGGACAGAGCCAATCTTCAGATCATCTCTTTGCAAGTCCAATTTACATAAATTTTTCACTTCATTAACTTTCTCACAGATTTCAGGCCACTTGTTCTTTAATTTAACATAAAGAACTCTTCTTGGACCTTTAGTTTTCTCACTAGTAAGAACAACCATATAGTGAGTTTCATGTACTTCATATATGTGTCTCCGACACATTATCCACAACATTGGTAATTTCAAAATATCTGTAAGAATTTAGACTGCGCTATTGACTCCCCCTGTATTGCTTGCAGTTGTATCACATCATATACCAATGATCTGCTCTTTACATCCATAATATTCTAAAAGATTATGCACTTGTTCAGCTTGGTCAACTCCCTTTGAAGAGGGACATTGAACAACACCTAAAAGATAATCTTCCATGGTATTGTCATCCGGGGAACTCACTGAGACTGCAAGTTGCTCAATTTTTTTAATAATGTTAAGCCCAGTGATAATTTGTTCTAACAGATTTGTATCAAAATGAAGAATTAAAAGCAGTCGACATTTAAGATGATTAGTTATTGAAATCCACTTCAAGTCTCCTTCAAGTTCTACATATTCGAACTTTTTTCTATGAAGTGTGGTTTGTGAAAGCTCAACTCTAAATATCATTAATTTTTATACCTCCAGCTTTAAATACTTCACTTAAAATTGCCAGATGAGGTTGTGCACCAACATTGAGCCTTGTTGCTGGAATAGCAGTACATTCAATGAGCTTTTCAAAATTCACTTCTAGATTTATCCTATATTCAGAATTGTACCTAGGTATCATTTTATAATATTTTTCTAAATATTTATAGTTATATAATTTTCAATAAACAGCTTTAGCTTGTGAAAATTACAACTATGTTATTAAAATAATACCATACCTGCGTTTCAGACCGTTACCCAGGAAATTTTCTTCCTCGCTGATTTCTGACTTTTTTTCCTCACTGCTGAATTGAATCTCTTCTGTCTTGGAGTCATGTGACAACAAAACATCATTGATATCTTTTAAGTTTTTCTGTCTCTCTAATAATTAGAGAGACAGAAAACTTAAAAGATATCAATGATGACAACAAAACATCATTGATATCTTTTAAGTTTTTCTGTCTCTCTAATAATTAGAGAGACAGAAAAACTTAAAAGATATCAATGATGTTTTGTTGTCACATGACTCCAAGACAGAAGAGATTCAATTCAGCAGTGAGGAAGAAAAGTCAAGCAAGGACTCAGAAATCAGCGAGGAAGAAAATTTCCTGGGTAACGGTCTGAAACGCAGGTATGGTATTATTTTAATAACATAGTTGTAATTTATATATTATTTTAATAACATAGTTGTAATAGGAAAGGATATATGGGAACAAAATTCGATGAAGACTACAGTAGAAGAGTACTGGATGCAAATAGGAAAAAAAAGAAGCTAGTTAAGTTGAGAGAGAAAGAATAATTCTTTTTCTCTCAACTTAACTAGCTTCTTTTTTCTCCTATTTGCATCCAGTACTCTTCTACTGTAGTCTTCATCGAATTTTGTTCCCATATATCCTTTCCTATCCAACTTCTGGTCTTCATAAAAACTAAGAAATATTTAAATCTATTAAGACATTTATAAATAAATTAATAATTGTTCTAGTTTTTCTTGGAAGATGACCAAACCATGAAAAGAGTTAAACGTAAATATTTTAAAGGAAATAATAATATATTACTTAAGTTACTTTAAATCGGAAAGAAAATCTCACTACTAAAAAAAGTGTTATTTAATGAACTTACTTTATATCTTCCGGCTTGGCATCATCTGTTTTCAACCTATCAGCAAGAATATCTTTTTCAAAATTCCAAGTCGAGATGTCAAAAAGCTGATAGGATTCTGTGAGAAAATCTTTCTATAACTTTGATTGCTTATCAAGGCTGCTGTTCCAGTTTAGAGAAGACAATTTAATCAATTTCTTGTATTTTAAATTACGTTTAATAATTTTGGTCTTTATGTTATACCCATAAATTACAAATTTCTTGCCAAACCCAGCACTATACCAAATTGTTTTAATCCTAGTTACCAAGCAAGAATTATCAGGATCTGTACAAACACCATTTTAAGATTTCGATTTCAATTTGCAACCAACATTAGTAAAAGTGGGATTGTATTTAACCTGTGACTCGCAAAGGATAAATTGATAGTATCTTAGAATATCACCATTAGATGGAAGCTATCTCTGAGGTAAATCTTTGAGGTACTTCAATAGATAAATATACCTAAACCTTTATGTATTTTTCCATTTTTTCTTATTCTGTCCCACCATCTTCTCATTTTTAGCTGTCCTACCCATTTTTATATGAATTTTGAAATAATCAGTTTTTTAACTAAATTTATACTGAATTTTACACTTGCATTAAAAATTTATGAAGTCGTTATTCCCTCTCGTATCATATTTTATCTCAGTTTACGTTACGGCTTTAATAACTGTTTACACGAAAATTTTTTCATGCACAAATTAGAATTCCTTTGTGCACGAATAATTCCATTTAGAAATTTTTTCCTTCAAAAAAAAATTCTAAATGGATTTATTTATGAACCAATCTATGGGAGTTATACCAACTAATAATATTATCTAGACGGAGTTATGTCAATCGCTAACAATGTTCATTGTTTCAATTTTATTATTATCTCAATTTATTTGCATTTAAATAAAAATACAAAAAGGTGATACAGGTAATTGGAGAATTACTCTTATGTAACACCAAGTTTAAAACAGTAAACAGCGTTTCTGAATACTGTATGATTTTAAATTCGATTTAAATAGAGACAATGAAGAGGAATACACCAAATAATCAGGTAAAGAATTCCATATCTTAGTAACTTTTTCACTGAAAAAAAATCTCCTTATATCATTGATGTAGTTGTTACGTGGTGTTAATTTTTGGGAATGACATCTAGTTAAGTAAGAGCGAGAGAAAAAAACTCAGAAAAAGGCAAATCAACTAAGTTGTGCATAATCTTATAAGTCATTAAAAGTTCAAATTTTATTCTCCGGCATTCAAGAGAGTCAAGATTGAAAATATCAAGTCTTGAAGCATAATCTTTATATGGAATACAACACCGTTTGCAGACAATTCTCGTATAATGTTTCTGGACCTTTTCTACCCGACGTATATCTTTTAAGAGGTACGGATTTCACACAGGGGTACATGACTCTAAAATTGGTCGAATATAAACTTGATAGGCTCTTATCAAAAGTTGGGAATCATTACTTATGAAAGACTTTAAGAGTAAGTAAGCACAAGAACTTGCTTTGCTAGCAATGTGAGAACAGTGTTCATAGGGAACAATACTAATTTTTAATAATGTCCTAAGGGAATTATTTGTGTACAATTATTACATCATATTAAAACTTATTGAAATACTAGATAGCGCTGTTTTTATGTAAATACACATAAGTGTACAAAACCGTAAAACTCAGAATTCTATTACTTCTACCCAGCGGGCATTTTGACGTCCTAAAGACGTCCAAAAGACGTCTTAAATCTCGTCCGTAAGATCCCAGCGGGCATTTTGACGTCCTAAGAACGTCCGTAAGACGTCTTAAGTCTCGTCCGTAAGACATCTTTAGTTGGTCTCAAATGAAAGGCTTGAGGACGTCTATTCCAGATGTCCCAAAGACGTCTTTTTAAGTCGTCCTAGAGACGTTTTTTGACGTTCTAGAGATATCTCTGGCTGGTCTAATTTTAAAGACTTAAGGACGTCTTTTTCAGACGTCCAAGAGACGTTTAAATTTTACCAAGACATTCTTTTAAAAATATATATAAAAATGCAATGATTTACAACACAAACCTTAGATTTGCCTTAATCTAGGCAAGGGAAGTTATAAAAAGAAATCAATGTAAATAAAGTGTAATTTGATATATTTAAAATAAATTATTAACTTTACAAAAAATAAGAATAATTTTTTAAACAAAGTTACATTTTCAAATTAAAAACTAATAGGTACAGTAGAATATAATCGATAGTGCATTATAAATAGAAGAAAATTGCTTAAAAATGGAAAAAAATAAATAAAATACAACAGTTAATTAAGCCATCATTGATTGAAATCCATATTAGTGGATGTTCTCTTTACTCGGTCAGAAGAATGCCTAATTACTTTTCCAATAAGTTGGATGGTATCCATTTTGATTAAGTTTTTATTTGACTTTAAAGCAGCTTCTAATAAAAACAACAAAACATGTTTCAAAAAGATCATTAAAAAAAAAATACATGTCATGTATACATACACTTGAATACATGTCATGTTCCATAGCCAAAGAAATTAAATTTTTTAGCTTATTAATGTGTTTGATTAATTAAAAATTAAAAAACATCATTTTTAATTTTTAATTAATCAAACACATTATTAAGCTAATAAGAATACCAGTGACAGCGTAACATAGACTTGTCAACTCTTTAAACTTTTTTTTCTTCTTTAGATAATTCATGCTGTATTCGGACAAAATAGTGTCTGTTGGCAGTCTACATAATAAAAAAGAAGATAAATGCTGTACTGTCAATCATAAATGTTAAGATTCAAACTTTTGCAAATTACTTACAAGAGCAAAATATTTTTAATTG